TCGAGAATCCGGGCCAGATCCGGACGCTGAGCCGCACATGGCTCCGGCGGAGCGCGGGTCGTGCCGAGCGAGGTGGGCGCCGCCGGGCATGTGCCAGTTCCAGCGCGCCTGTCGGCGTCCTTGGCTCGGCAGCAGAGGCTGAAGCGGCTCTGCCTGGAAAAGGGAGGAGGAGAAGGCGGACGGCGGGGCGAGTCCCTCTCGGGATTCTCCGTGGACACCTGCTGGACGGAGCGGTAGGTAAGACTCCGATCGGCGGCTCCCCGGGGCTTTGCTCGAAGGCTCCCCAATGCCTGGGACCTCGGCTCCCCAGTGGTAAGCCCTAGTGGGTTCGGGAGGGGAGGGCTCACTCCCGGGGAAAACGGGGCAGACGGGAGTGGTGAGCGCCGGATGGATGCTCAGGTAGGTAACATTGATCTCCTCCAGGGAAAGGGACGCGAAGGATGTCTCGCGCGTGTTTCGCGACTTTCCACGCCGACTAGTAGACCCAGGTTGGAATCGGTGACTTTGATGGACGGAAGCTTCCCCCAGATCCCCCAGCCTGCTTTCCAAGCTCTCTAATTCCAGCCAGTGCTCATGAATGCTGGATGCCAAGGTTCCCAAAATAGGTAGGAATTACCACAAGGAAGAGCCTCGTCGAGTGTGCGCAAAGGGCTTGTCTCTTCTCTCCCTGAGTGCCAGTTCTCAGAGGTTTCTGGGAGAATATAGTATTTAGGATCATAAAGCTTGGTATTTCATGCCCTGTTGCTCCCAGGTGTCCCAAGCTTCATGGAGAAATAAGTTTCTGTAGCACAGTAAGGAAAAGGGATTCTACTCTGACCATGGGCAGAGTACTTTTTGGCACAGGAAGCCTACACCCTGCTGGTAGGACATCCAAACTGGGCAGCTTAAGCCCTGGCAGACTTGCCTTTAGACAGTAAACCTATCTATGGACTCGTATGTGTGTAGGCAGTGTTCTCCAATCCCAGTCTTGTCTGTTTATTATTATTATTATTATTATTAGCTTTCATTTTCATCTGATATTTTGTATAGATGTGCCATATTAATGATTTTACGTGCTTGTAATTTCAGTTTCTCCAGCAAGAATTAAAGACCATTATCATTATTGTTATTATTTTTGTTATTATTGTTGTTGTTGTTGTTGTTGATTTTATTATTTTATTATTATTATTATTCCTGGAGACTGGGGAAAACCTTTCCCACATGGTTGGGGATGAAACGAAAGAATGCAGATTTCTCAAACCCGGCATCACCAAGGCTGACGAGACATGGAAAGACCCAGCCTGCCGTGAGATGTGAGCCCAAAACGACCTAGACTGTGACTTCTTCCTTACAGAAGTCTAAACTTGCCAAAGAATAGCCATCACTATCATGAATTGAGAATCCAGTCTTGCCGTTACTTTGGATCCTGCTGAGTTCTGTCACTTCCTGCCTTAGACACGGCTGTTGATCTTTTGTCTTAACAAATTTTCCTATTCAGAGAAGTTCACCTACTTCTGCTGCCTTGGCCAATGTCCCCTTCATCAGTAATTCTTAGCCAGTAGATCACAGAGGTAATCTACATGAGACAAAAGATTTTCATTACAACAAGAAAGAATTCACTGTCCCTCTTTGGCCATGGAAAATCTCAGGGGGATAGTACTAGTGAAACCATTTCTTAAATGTCTCACATACCTTAAAAACCCTATCAGAGTCACCATAAGTTACATACAAATCAATCACACATAAAACACATGCACACATTTCCTATCTTCTCTTGGAAGTATGATGTACCATCATCTCCTACTGACCCTGTTTGTTGTGGGTGATCTGTATGTGACCTTGTGACATGCTGGTTATAACTTTGGATGTTTATTCTAATCAGTCATTCCCCTAGCTACAAAATATGCATTAAATATGAAATATAGCACAATGCTTGGTAGCATTTATGGTATTTATTAAATGACTTGTAAGCTGATCTGTTTCAAATTATATTTCCTTCAAATATATTTCTTATAAAAAGTAATACTGTATTTTGGTGTCATTACATTGGGACTCCATTCATTAGTAGGTTGGTGGGACTTCAGGTAGCAAAGATTGAGACGCAGTGCTCTGGATGTCCAAACAATATTAATCACAGAGAAGATCTAGTCCTTGTTAGCTAGAAATCTTACTCTGCAAGGGAATTTTGTGTTGAGAATTTTGATTATAACGTGTACTCTTATAACATAAGCAGAGTAAGGAGATATTGGTTAGCAGAGGTACTTACGACACTATGACACTGAGAGAGTAAAACCAACAACTTAGTCTATTTACATATATGCATAGATAATAGACGTTCCTCTGGCAGCATAACATGACATGAAACAACACACAGCATAGGAAAAAGTAATCTGACTTGCAGCAGATAAAGACATTCATTTTACACATGACTTATGTACAGTTCTGTGACCAATCAGAAAATACATTACTTCATTTTCTGTTAAACAAAGTTTTATTATGTACACAACTGTACAACATTAAGTCTTAATCCTTGATACCCACACCTGAATACAATCAGTACAGTGACTCAGGTAAAATCAGCCATTTTACATTTAACTATACAACATTAATATTTAATACATTTTCATGTCAAAATCCCAACATTTTTCTATGGGAAATATTTTGCTATGGGAAAGAAGTGTTGGTTTGGCTGCCAAAAATTAAAGTTCAAATCCGTGCTCCACCTCAGACTTCTTTAATGTAGCTTGCAGCTGGCCAAATCCATCTTTTGGACTATGTGTGTCTTTTGGTGTCTGATCCAGGGCATCTGTAATTTTGCACAACTGAGAATTCTCTTGAACAGCCTAACCAGATTCTCCAGTGCAATCCCTTGTAACACACTGTGATCAGCCCAGACCACAGGGAGGAAGAACTCACAATGGAGAGATCTTGTGCATATCTTTTCCCAGGCTGCAATTTTCATGCCCAGTTTTGTTAATAGGCTGAAATAAGAGCATGAGAACATCCTACATAGTTAGGTAGAACATGTTTTCCTTGAGACTAACACTTGAGATAATAGTTGCAAAATGTTTATGAAGATTTAAGTACTGATGGTTGCTGTGGGTTTTTCAGGCTCTTTGGCTGTGTTCTGAAGGTTGTTCTTCCTAACCTTTCATGCAAAAGGTCAACAAACTCTATCCAGCCACAAGGACCGGTGATCACTACACACAAAAGACCAGCTAATGACACCCATCAATCACAGTGACAGATAATCTCTCCACCTTATCACAACAATACACCCACAACAAAAACACACCGATCACCATAATCATCCATCTCCTGAAAAGGAGAAAAGCTGATCCCACAGCTATAAATACTCAACTCCCAAACAAACTGCCCCAGAGCACAGAGTGCTACTCCTGTCCTCTGAAGATGCCAGCCACAGAGACTGGCGAAACGTTAGGAAGAACAAGCTTCAGAACACGGCCAAGAGCCCAAAAAATGCACAACAACCATTAGATCCTGGCCGTGAAAGCCTTCGCAAATACATTAAGAACTGAATCTGTTCCAGGACCTGTGCGTAAATAGTATATAGATACTGTACTAGAGTAGTCAGAAGTATGGTGAGGGGAAGATACTTTGTTGTGGAATAAAGAAGTAAACTGAAGGAAGGGTGGATACATCTTAATTCTCCCTCAGTTGTGTGTTACTCTGAAGCATGCAGAGAGAACATATTTTATTCTAGCTTCAACATCTGTTTTCTTTATGGGGCTAAAGACAGCTAATATCTAGCAGAGAAATGGTGTGCAGTGCAGATCTTCCACTTTAAAAGGCAGCTTCAGTCAGGGATGACTCAGAGCCTGAGTTGGGGGGCACCTCACCCCAACATGTCCAGGAATGTGTGTGCATGTCTTTGATCATGAGCTGCCTATGACGTCAATTGTTGATTTCTTCCTGTCTGTGTCTGTTTATAAGATTCCCCCACCCTGAATCAAAATACAGGTTCAAACCCTTTATAAACGTCTGGAACAGGTGGTGTCTGCAGCGCCTTTGATGCAAACATTTCTGGACCGTCAGGTGGTGTCTGGTCACAGTCATGTGAAACTGACCTTGGGACTGAAATTAAAATGCAAGGAACACATCCTCCAGGCTCCCTTTCATCCTTCCCTTCCTCAGTCTGCTCTCAAAAGGACAATTTGGTTGTCTTGGCTCAAGGCTGTTAAGGACTGCCTGGACTCTTTTTTCGGGTGGGTGAGTAGAATCCCTGATACAGCACATGATACTCTTGCAACACCAGTCATTTAACTAGGGCTACAAATATTGTAGGTGGTTGTTTCTTGAGTAAGGGTTCTCTTCCTACTCCCTTAATAAAATGTTAGTGTCTGCTCACCAGTGAAAATGGGGCTTAAAAGGGGATTGCAGAGTTATATGCATGTGTTTCTAATAGTCCATTCTTTTCAGACCATGATACTGAAGCTTTTTTAAAACAGGCAAACCCTACCTCTTTGTGCTATTAGCAGCTTATTGTCCCCCTGCTGCATGCTTAAGAGCCGAAGTGGGATAGATCACTTGAAACACTCCCACATTGCACGGGCCGCGTACTGGCTGAAATTGGCCTGCATTAATGATTCTCGGCTTCAAATAAAGTGCTATAAAGAACAGAGTCCATCCCAAGAGTACTTGGTGAACTCAGACCTATTTTACAGAGATATGGAACTCATACAAACTCTTTGCCCATCTTTGCCTCTCATAGCGTCAAGCAGCTGGTTAAAGAAAAAGAAAATCTGTCTTCAGTGGCTGGTTTTGTGTGCCGTCTCATAAATGTCCTATTCTTCTTGGTTCCCCCTGTACAAAACATTGTTTTGTTTAGAAAATTACGTTGTTAATCTTAACTGCAGCCCCCTTTAAGAAAAGCATTCACAGCTTTGCCTTTTCAGTGTATGCCATCAGGCATTTGGGAGGGGAAATACAGTATGCTATTTATTTATTTATTTATTTGTTTGTTTGTTTGTTTGTTTGTTTGTTTGTTTGTTTGTTTGTTTATACCCCGCCCATCTGGTCTTCTGAACACTCTGCTAATGTCCCATTTCATCAAAGAGTCTGCATTTGTAGATCAGGAGAGGTCAAATATGTTTTCCTTTATTTATTAAGTTGCCATTTATATGAGCACCCCAGAAGTCAATTTTTTTTCCTGTCATGCTCGGACCTATGGGCTCTAGATCCCACCTTTGGCTCACCTTTATATGCCGCTTGTGGGCAGGAATGTAACCACTATGTATCAAATAGCAAAATTTGTTTTGGCAGCAAAGAAGATATATGCCAAGTATCAAAAGTCTTACGGAAGGAGGGAAGCAATGGCATCTTATATTTATGAGTAAATATGTGATGTCAGTGCCATATATGTTTTGTGTTGATGTACTGTGATGACCTATGGTTTTAAGCAATAAAATGTGTTCATTCTTCATTAGCAGTTTGTTGAAACCAGATAAGCAGGACTCCTCAGGTAGAATGTATAAAAAACTAGAACTTCAGCATTAAGCATCTGTTTACCACTGGTTAATGTGTTTGGGGACCCTATGTATTTGTTCGTCTTCAGGACTAGGAACTAAGTCCCTTACGGAGATAAGAGGAAATTCTCCTTAGGGATCAAGGCACGTAAAGAATTTGCAATTTGAAGTTTGCCAGTGTTTGCAACCACAGGGAAGAGTGGAAGAAGTCATCACCTCCTTGATCAGTAGAAAAGGAGAGGTGGGTGATGGAGGTGTTTAGTCTGAGAGAACTACATGCCACTGTTTCTAGTCTTTGAAAGAATTTGGTCACCCCCAAGCCATGGCACATGGGAAGAAGTCTTAGATGGTAGAATAATGGGGTACAAGTATTTATGCAGTCCTCATTTGTTTGGAACAATGGGAAGAAGCCTGGTAGACAAGATGAAAAAAAAGGACACATTGACTTTGCACCATAAAGGCTTTTTGATAATGCTGACAAAAGAAAAGAAGAAAAGGCAAAATACTGTGGCACTTTAAAGATATACTGATTTATGTCTGTGTGAGCTTTCCTAGATCAAACTCCACTTTTTCAGATACCACCAGCGGGAACAGGCATGTACTGTCATGTTTCCTCAGCTAGATCAGGCTTGGTGTAAATGTGGATAGATGTTCTCTGCTGCAGGTTACATACATTATTGTATAAAATCTATTTTTTTTTTAAAAAAATAATCTTTAAATTTTTTGTAAAATATCATTTGTAATAGAGACAAAAGAACCCTTTATCTTCCATTCTGCATCAGAACCAGTGGTGTGTTTTCAGTGGGGCAGAATAAAACTAAGGCCGATGTTCTTGGGCACATGTTAGATACAGAATTTAGCCTTCCAATCCCTTCCGAGTCTGATGACTCTTGTCCCAGTCATGGCAGAAATTTATGTATAGTTGCTACCTGATCGATAAAATACAACAGATTGATTTCTGATCATTCAGAGAGAGAGAGAGAGAGAACAATATTTCATTGTTGTGTGTATGATCAGAACTTATATACAGGCTTTGTGATAATTGGTCCTTCTGAATGTCCTGGGAGGTTGTCCCAACAGAACTGGCAAAAATCTTGCAACCCCCAACATCAGGAAGCAAGGCAAAAGATGGAAATGCACTTATTGATGTTGGCCTCCACTCAAGCAGCACCTCTTTGGTGGAACAGGTATTTTGTCAATTGGCCTCCACTCAAGCAGCAAGATCTGTTCTGCTCACCTCTTTGGTGGAACAGGTATTTTGTCAAGCTATAGTACTATTTCAGTGACGTGGAGAGGAGGGATTTGCTTGTTGGGTAACAGCCTATCCTCCATATTATTTCACCCAGGCTTCGTGCTCTGGAGAGCACACTCCAGCTTTGCGTACAGCTCAAAACACTAGATGCTGTTCCAAGTCCTCCATACAGAGCATAATACCATAGGATGCCTATGATGATGAGTATAATCTCTCTTCATGCTCTCTTCCCAAACTGTGAGGTTTTGTATTGTGTTTGGGGAGACCTGTGCTTTATCTGTATGAAAAAGTGGAGAGGTGTGAAATTATACAGATGGATGGATACTGGTTGTGTGGGAAAGGTTCATTTATGGTTAACCTAAGAAACACTTCAGCTATTATCAATTTACTCCATTATTTTCTTTTTCCTTTCCTTTCAATGTCGTGGACGGATGTTGTTGAATTACAATATTATCTGATTACTGTACTTGGTTGAGAATGCAAAGTTGTTTTGCCTGCAATAACTGTACAAATTATGAATCACAATTGTTAATCCAGTTTTGAGTTGAGCTGAGGAGAGGTTGCCCATCATTAGCCATGATGTTTCTGACTTCCATGTGCCCATGGCATCTCCTTTCTTCCTTTTTCAAGATTCAGAATACTGCTAGGTTCCAAAATGTATTTTGATTGTCTCTTTGGACCAGTCATTTATTGCAGTTTCAACTTTAGTGTCTTTTTAGGAGTTTCGTACTGTACATACAAGATTAGTTTGATTTTTTTTTAGCACAGCACGGTTAGGCTGTGAAAGGGTAACTTTTCCAAGAATTCTCAATGAACCTTGTTGTTTTGTAGATCAGTCCATTATATCACATAACTTTTGTTTCGTCTACAAAGAACTTTATCAAAAGGAAGAAATTTAGCATTTTAAAAAACTGCCTTAACAGTTTTGTCACCAAAGTCAGAAGATGGTTAATAGTAATGCTTATTAAGTTCAAGGTGTATAAAAATCAGTGTTAAATCTAATTGATTTAAATCACAATTTAAATCATCAAAAATCATTTAAAAAAAATCAAAGCCACCATGGTTAAGTTTCCATTGAAAAAATGTACATCACTTTAAAATCCATTTGTAGTAAATTTGGAGGGGAAATCAAAACTGTCTTCTTGACATGTTTTAGATGTAATGTATTTTGTTGGAAAGATGAAAGTGTGGTTAATTTCTTAATTGTGTTCTTGAGGGGAAGAGGAGGCAATGGTGTGCTGGCTCAAGATTATAGGAGCTGCAGTTGAGTCAATCAAGTTAGGGAGACTGAGAAACCATTATGACTCTTGTTGTTTAGAGGTTAAATCGTGTCTGACTTTTCGTAACCGCATGAACCAGAGCACGCCAGGCCCTCCTGTCTTCCACTGCCTCCTGGAGTTTGGTCATTATGACTCTACCTTCAAGCAGTTACCTCTTGTTAGAGACTTTGAGGATAAATATGTATGTGTTTGTTGTGGCTTGGATGCCATCATCTTTCCAAACCTCAAACAAGCTGTTGCTCATACTGATGAGAAAAAAAATATGTGCCACTCTCTTCTGTATTCACATTTCTGAAAATTCAGGTCCTTTCCATCCTGAATAAAGAAAAACGAAAACTGCAAACTTCAAGAATCAGACTGAGATATGATGATACCATGGCAAGAACTACACTTTCGCAATGTAGCAAAGCTTTTTACTGCAAGTTGTTTGCAAACAAGAATTAACCCACTTGGAACATACATCCTGTTTTAATGCAATTTCTTGCATTAGAGCAAGATGTGTAGATGCAGTTGCCCAACCAGTGCTGGGATGCTTCCTGGATGCTGACAGCACCGTTGTCAATACAATAACTCACCTAGCAAAAATGGAGCTACGGAAGCTGCCTCCTTGGGCTAGATTAGAACTTTGTTGTCAACCAGCCAGCCAGCCAGTGCTAAGATAGCCAGGAAGCCTTCCAGAACTGGCCAGGTTGCTCTGTTTTCACCACAAGTTAAGTGGACCAGGATTCTGTTATCCCAACTCCGACCCTGTATGTTGACAGGAAGCCTCCCAGCACTGACTAACCAGCAACAGAAGCCCTAATGCAGTTTTTACAAGGGCAGATTGGCATTGTTTTTAAACCACAGTGGGGCTTGCATCATGTACAAGTTGCCACAAATTTGATCCGTATCAGCCCATATTTCACCTTGGGCATAAAAGATTAGTTTGCCAGAATCATGTAACTCACACCTGGTGATGTAACTCCAATGACATAACTTTTATCAGTGATCTGCCGCCAGTTAAGAAGTGGCGCTTGTTTTTCCTGTGTAGCGACCACATGACTTAGCACTTGAGAAGAAGAACAAGAGCTTATTTCTTAACTGGTGGGAATTCAGTGCTGAAGCATAAATTTTATCAGTGATTTGTCGCCAGTTAAGAAGTGGCACTTGTTTTTCCTGTGTAGCAACCACATGATTTAGCACTTGACAAGAAGAACAAGAGCTTTTCTTAAC